TTAAAAATTAGATTTTAAATACTAAAAAAAGTGAATTAAATTCATATTTTTTTTTTTTAATATCTGGTTTGTTAACAAAATATAATAATTTTTATATTATAAACATGGAATACTATGGATTATTGTTACATTATTCGTAGAAAATATTAGAAACATAAATTTAGAACGAATTTTGGAAAACAATATCTTGGTATACCATGTATGTGAATACTAATTAAAATTATTTTTCTTAAGTATTGAATTTTAGAGTATTTAATTATTTCGCTTTAAGTTATTACATGAGTACACATGTTATATTATATTAATATACAAACACAGCTAACAGAAGTTATTCTTTAACGGCTTCCAGTCTCTTCATCTAACCTATTTCAAGTGGACCACCAAGTCCTCTTATCTTAATCCTCTTAATTCTCTTAGTGCTCTAATCTTGGTAGTTATCTTTATAATTCTTTAGTTTCTTTATTTACCATCGATATAAAAATCTACATAAGAATCAGCTCAATTAATGATTCTCTTTTTCTGGAGACTGATCTTTAGAAACGTCAAGTAATGTATTTCTGAAGGAGACACTCCCTTTTACTCTATTCTGTTTTGGCTCTTCACTCGAGCGTGTATCCTGCATCAAGTACCTCTACTATCTGGCGCATTCTTTTGATCATAATATTAATTTCACTGTCGTTAGAAACCTGAACATTTTGGGCCTCATTTAACGCAACACCAATATATTATCATCCAGTCCATACTCCCCTGCTCCCTTTATTTTTTCCCGTGTTCACTCCATTTTGGAATATTATGCGATTGGAAGACCATCCTTATTTGACTTAGTGATTAACTACATATATATATATATATATATATATCGAGTACAAACCCGTAATTTCTAACCATTAAGCTACCTTCATTATTAAAATTCTTCACCTCTTGTGACTTTTCCATTTAGTTAATTTAATGTATTATGTGCTATGTGTATATGCATACACACCTTAATTTTCTTATGCACTCGCAGCTGTTATTTTATGCTTACTATATATTATACATTGTACTCTACATCAACCACCTTGTGGTGTTATTAAAATTTTATTAGTTATAACATAATTGTATAGTTTCAGCTTTTAATAATTTAACCTTGATAATATGTAATATAGCTGTTTAAATGTGTAAATCATCGAATAACTTATAATCCTGATTTTTATATAGCAAAGATTTGGATTTTTAAGAAACATGTAGGCACCCATCTAGTATTAATATGTTGTTGAGTGTATGACTAATGTGCCTAGGTATGCTAATTAAATTCTTTGTTTAGTATTTATTAATCACAAATTATACCTATACATGAGTATACGTGATCAGTGATTCCTTATTTTAAACGATAAAATATCCTTAAATACACATTTTTTTTGTGCATCATGTAATTGTCAACCTAGCCGTATGAACATAAAAAACATCACAAGTGTGAAATATTTTGTATTTAATTTTAAAGCTTTTAATTTGTTAAACAAATCAAAATGGGTTTCAAGAAAGTGTTGAATACTGAAAATATACATTGTAGGAGTTCCAAAATTAATGTATGATTTTTTATAGGCTTAAGAAGATTAATACTAGAAAGGTATTATCCTCTTAATGCTTAATTGTATTCAAACACAAAAATATCTATTTGATAATTGTGCAGATAAATATAAATTCTATCCAACAAGGCAACAACTTCTATCATTTAAATTATTTTTTAAAACATTAATTTACATAAAGTATAAGTATTGATAAATAATCATGCTTATTAATATAACATATCAAATAATACAATGTCAAGGTAATTCAGAATTGTTTTAATAACAAAAAAATAATACTTAAATAGCTATTTTATCTACCCATTGGAAGTGTTTTTAACATTTTGAACTAACAGCCTTTCTACAAATGGCTCTATAATATTGTATTATTGTATTATATTATAAATTATACTAGTTGTTAATTCACATGTGCCATAATCCCATTAGTTTAATACAAGCACTGAGCCGCATTTTCACATCACCTGTCTATATGTATTCTTGCTGTGACTACATTCAACACTTTATGACGTAGTGATTTATTAAATTGATGTTAACTTCTGATACATGCCAAATAGAATAACGTATTAACAGCTTTAAGACGACAACTCTCACTACGTCACTCCTAATCATATAAAGTAAATTGTCTTGGGTCCTCAATGGACCAATATTATATTATTTAAATTGTCGCGGTACTAAACTGATGCCTACCTTAGGTATAAAAGATAAAATAAGTGTTTTGATATTGATGGGTTTGTTTTTAAGTCTTATGTTATTATAATAATAATAGTAATTGTTATTTAAATTTTTTTGTGAATTGTCGATTACGCGAGTCAATAATATTGACCTTGTTTTGAATTTTGAAAAAAGCAGTTCCATCTGTTCTTATTATTATCATAAATTATCATAACAATATCTGATATAACTTTTAAATTTACACTACACAATCAAAAACAAAATTCGAGTAATCTTTACTGAAAATAAACTTTGGTGAAATACGGTTTTAATTTATAAAAGGGTTTTTATGATAACCATTAGACATAACTACCAGCCCATAACATAAAAAATAACTTGTTGCGTAAACGATTCCCAGTGAACTTAATCAAACAGAAGTTACTTTTACTTTTTAGTTTCAACTTTTGACAATTCATGCAGACAGTTTAAAATTGTTTGTCAATTTTTTGGTACAATTTCAACCAAAGTCCTTCTTAAGTCTTAACATTTTGCCTTTTTTGAATGCATGTCAGTAAATTTTCCCAAAATAGTGTTTTCGAATACATTTTTATATAAACTTACTACATTGCTTAATTTATTTTGAACAATATACACTAACTATAGTAAGTGAAAAATTATTAATGAACTTCAAGTAACGTCTGTAGTAGGTCTTTTTAAAACAAAATATTATTTAATATACCTACTGTTAGATTCTGCGTGCCTAGTTAATATTACTTTAACTTAATGAATGTATAAACCATTTCTATACACACTATTAGAAACAAAATGCTATAATTTTTAAGTAGGTACATATTGTTTTAATTTATTCGATGATTATGAAACACAAAATACATATTCAAAAGTAAAAATTTAATTTTTCAAAAGCATCGTGTAAAACAAAAACAAAAATAAGAAAAACTGGAATTTTTACTCAAAATCGATTTTGTTCTTTTGTTATAACTCAAAAACGAATAACAGTACTTTACATTTTCACCAAATGTACCAATTCACCATTTTGTATGTGTCATAATAAAATGTTCAAAAGTAGTTTGATTCTTTTCACGCCATTAATAGGCATAATAAATTTTAGATTTTTAGTTTTTTTTAAATTATTATTGTTGATACATAATTTAAAGCTTGGTCAAAAAACTTGAAAATGTTATATAAGGTTAATTCCTCATAAATAGTAATTAGTATGTAAATCAAATAAAATTTGGTTTTGCTGACTTCAGAAATAGATTTAATATTATTTTCTATCTATTTTCTAGCTACCATCGTTTGTTTTAAGAATTTATAACATCCTCGAAAATGATTTACTAACTTCAGCGATAAATTTGATAGTTGCAATACATTTAAAAAAAACTTGAGTTGTCCCTAGAAACGCAAGTCAAGTTGCACTTTGATTTGCACTTATGTCACATCCCTATCATTTTTATATAACATATTGTCGACCTCATCATATCTGTGATATACGTATTTAATTAATGCTTTTGTCATAAACTCATAAACTATATTAGTTACAGGGCAGCTGGAAATTACAACTACCACTTACTATAAAATATAAAATTAAGTAACAATTAAAACTATGATATTTTCTAGTTATTGGATAGTTTTGTGTTTACAATCCAATAGGCGATATTAAAATAGATACATTATGCACAATATTAAAATTTTTATTAAGAATGACATTTTAAATACCTATTGTCTTGTAATTATCCTATAATGGTTAGCTTATTGGCAATAGGTATATTTATTATATTATCATATTATGATTTATTATCTTCTATAGATATCTGTATTTTTAAAAATATAATATATTATAAATAAATATTTGGCAGGCTATAGATTACTTCCTTTTAAAGTTGTGAATGAGCTCATAATTTAATTTAGTGTAAGGTACAACAAATCGTTATATTATTTTCACCATCTTCTTATCAAGTCGGTACAATATTGTTATTAAACTTATAAGTTATTACGAATCATAGTATAATTATACGTTATTCCCACATATGCGTGATTGGCCGAGACACGTATCACAATAAACATGCAATTATTATAACCTTTAGGTAGTAACAGTCAACAAACTCGTGGTATATATTTAGTTGCTGAATTAATTATTTATGATCAAGTTTACATCTTAACAATATCTTGTAGAGTAGTATCTTATACTAAACAAAATATAAAATTCAAACTTTTAATTACCAAAGTTTATTCATGTTGAAATTATCTATAATATAATATTGTAATGCAATTTGTCTTTATATATTTATAAACATTATGACTTAATGAAATTATAATTGAAATATTAAATCAGCTACTATGACACCACCAGTTAGTATATAGGCCACAGGAGTAAAATCAAGACATAATATTAGAAATAATATCATTATGGCTAAGCGATAAGTAAATTATATTTATGACGTTGATTTATGAGAAGGATTCACTGCCTTCTGTACATTTAGTTTTTCAGGTGCATCGTGCATCGTGATAAAGTCACTGTAGATTATCTTTGTTGATTAAACAGTTTGCTTCTTCTATATTTAGTATGCTTATTATGGTATATTTTATGTATTCAACATACGCAATACGCATGTATATTAAATTGGATTTATATATTATAATACATTTGAAAAAAATATTTATATACCTTCCATTAATATTCGGGTTTTGACATTTTGTATACATTGTAACATCCTTGACAAAATACAATTAATTTAACCGAATAAATGGTTTTTTTTTTTTCAGAAAATGAATACGCAAAGATAACATTAATTTTTTATATCCATAATTAATTTCAGCATGAGAAATCAGTATGGATTATTTCAATGAAACTTGGTCACCGAACGAAGAAGTAAAAATTTTGATATTTTCCATTATTCAAAAATTAAACATTGGTTATAAGTGGGTGGCTAACATTAAAGACATTTCCACGTTCCACTTTATCCCACAAAATTTAGATATGATATTGTGATTATATGTTGATTGGATTTAAAATGTAATAATTTGTATCGATGAATAATTTCCAGGCTGCTTTGAAATGCAGGTCTTGGTACGAATGGGATGATCATTGGATAAACGGGTGTAATGCATCATCAGATTCACTGATATGTTGGCCTCCCACACCGGCTGGTGTAATCGTATATCAGCCATGTTTTCGAGAGCTCAGAGGAATATTATATGATACAACTAGTAAGTAAACGTGGAACCCGATTAGTTAAATATTTATTAACATTTATGACCATTAAAATGTTTTCACCGGACCCGATTAACTTGGAATAGCATACAAACACAGATTAATTCACCAATTACGTTAAAATTACATGTCATGTTCCTTAAAATAAGAGAGTAAAAATAATTAACTTTTATCAACGTGCAACAATCACATATTAATATCAAATAACAATAAATGGTTTTTTGGGAATGCACTAATATTATTTAAAGACTGAAAAACTAATAATATTTGATAACAACAAAAAAAAACCTGTAATATCTTTCCTAGTTTTATTTTTATTTTTTTAATATTTGTTCAACATTTTACGCAACACACAATTACTTATAAAGTTATAATTTGTTTATAACAGTTGGTGACAGCGGGTGTTATAATCTTTGAATACTATTGAACAAAAACAAAAATTGGCCAATTTACATAATTGTTCAGAAGATGAGTAGTATATAAATCTGATTCCGCCCCTAAACAAATGACGCCCGGGACGATCACCTCCTCTAGAACCCCTTCCTAAATATGTCACTGAGTATTTATTCACTAATATAAAACGTGTAGGTACATAAATACAAACATTTAACACATTATCATGCATAAATTTATGGCTCCACTCAGAATTTAAAAAAATAATAAGTAATAATGATAATACACAATCATAACGTAAGAAGAATTATGTTATACTTTACCTAATCATTGTTCGGCATAAATTTATTTAAAATATTTTATATTTTTCTATGAGAGTTAAAAATTACAATTTGCTATCACTATTCAATAGATATTAAAATGACAATTCCTAATTAAATAATATTTAACTAGATATTTAAGTTTGCGCTCTTCTAGTAAATAAGTATCTTTAACTAATACATTAATAAGTAACAATATTATTATTAATGTTTTTTTTTTTTTTCACAAACAGAAGTGTCTATTTTATATTTGTATGTAACAAAATAATATATAATGATCATCATTTTGTATCTGCCTTTCATTCAAACTCATAGATTTAGTATATCAACTACCAAAACATACAGCACGTATTCGTAGAGTATAAACTATTTTTATAAATTTGACACATTTTTATATAGTATTGTGTAAAAACAAAAAACACGGTAACAAAACTTGGGTACGTATATTAATCAGTGACAACGTAGGTTACAATTATACAATATAAATGGGTACCTATTCTCAAAACTCTCATGTGTACCAGCACTTCAGAAACTTGCAAAACTATGCAAAATAGCATTTAGATTTTATGAGTAGCGCAAAAAAATGTTTAATAAAAGGATTTTATTACTACACAGTAAAAATTAAAAGGAAAATGTTTCTGGTATACGTCAAAATTATATACTATTTGGCACAAAGTCTAAAACAGTTTCAAAATGCTACATCCACATTAATTATAACAACGTAATTATACCATTTATCTCATGAAAACTTTTTTTACTTGATTTTTTTCAAATAAATAATGTCCAAATATTAAGGAATTAGATTTTAATATAAATTTACAAAAAGTTTTTAAGACCACGTCCATATCAGAATTTATTTGATTCTGTCACTTACCTATGAAGGGAAATTAGAAACACGTTCCCTGCAAATACATCTTTAGTTTGGACACAGCTTTTTGTAAGCTGTTGTGAGCAATATAAACGAAACAAGGAATTGTCATGATAATCACCCGTCTCGCTTTATTCAGATAAAAGGACTAATTTTTTATATTCAATTTAGAAAGCAACAATATCAATAATTTTGTATTCATACAATTATTTTATACTTTTACTGACAGTTTTTTGGACTTGGGTAGATTAGAGGACTTGATTAAATAAAAAAATTAAAATATAAAAAAAAAATATAAAAAAAAAATATAAAAAATTCAAAATATCATATTTTACACTCAATTTCTGAGCTATAAAATCTAAACACATTGACATAATATTTGTCTTGGACAACGTTAGTTACGAACCCACAACAAACCATTTTGATTTTCAAATGCGTTATGCGTTTTAAACTTCCTATATATACGTGATATCCTTTGTTATGAGTTCTAATGTTAATAGGTTAACTTAAGGTTTGTCTATTGGTTTGCCTTGTACATTGTACATAGGATAAAGTAGTTATGATAATACATAATTAGAATATTTCCCCGGAATTCATAACTTATGACTTTAAGTGTCTTACTTTACTATTCATATGTGATAGCCATGAAGACTGTCTTGTCTGACAATTTGAGTTAGAATTTTTATGTTATAAAGTGGGTTCTTAGTATTTTCCAACAACCATAATTTAAAATGTTTAGAACGCATGGAGCCGGAAGATTTTGTACTTTTTATATGAAAGTAATTTATAACTAATAAAGAGTGCCAATATAAATCAGGCGCGTAGCCGGGGGAGGTGTTTTGGATGTCAAGACACCCCTCTTCGGTGGTATTCCAAACATTTAAAATATATTAGATGTGTGAACAGCATCTCTCTCAAAGTTGTAATAAAACATTAAATTAAACAACAACCCCCCCCCCTTAAAAAATTCAGGCTACGCACCTAATAGAAACTAATTATATCTATAAATGTGAAGAATTATTATTGGACAAAATATATAACTATTTTTATTTTTAATTATTGTTTAGAAAATGCAAGTCGGATATGCTACGAGAACAATACTTGGGGCCTAACCGATTTCAACGAGTGCACGATTCTTGGTGATCCGAAAGCAGTGACGTACGATGAAGAAGGCACTGTTGATATAATTATTTATTTGTATATAGCTGGTCATTGTTTGTCATTAATAATGACATCACTGGCCATTTTTGTATTCTGGCGATTTAAGTGAGAAGTACAATACAAACTAGTTACTTTTATCGAACAAAAATATTTATAGTCTGTGTCTTTTGTATATTATTATTCCATAGAGAACTGAAATGTTTGCGCAACAAAATCCATTCGAATTTGATGGCGTCGTACTTATTAGCAGGCATCATGTGGATACTGAACTACACTGTATGTCAACAATATTAATTAATCTGTTTTTCGAAATATAATCTATTTGATTTCCTAGCTCAAAGTCCAAAGTACTAGTAATGCGTTTGTAAAGTTGTTTAAAATAATTTCACTTTAATTTGATAATGTCGTGAGACGAAAATTAATTCAAAAATTGAATAATTACATTTTAAACAAATTATGATTATTGATGAAAATGCATTTTCAAGGCTTATAATTATTTTATTTATTGTACTAAGTTCAATATGTACAATTTAAATTAAAAATAAAACCTACATCGTACGATTAAAAATATGATAATTTTTTTAATATTTCCATTGTAATTAAAGTAACGAAAATTCAGACAAAGTTTTAATAATGAGAACAACCGTTCTTAATATAAAATTATAATATGCCCAGACTCCGGATACCACTTCGTTTGTCACTGCGCTAAGTTTATGTTGATTGTTGATTTTTATATATGCGTACCTAAAGACTTAAACTTGATTGTAATATTATACTAACTTAATTTTCCATGTCTTTTCCATATTTTATATTTTTATCCGACGAAAACCATCAGGATATAATGTATTAGTACCTACAGAAATTAGTATCTCCGTGAGATTTAATATGTTTGAGTAGGTGTTCCTAAACAAATTGATGAAATAATATTAATACTAATCAACATTTTGTTTCATTTTAGAAGAAAAAAATATATTATACAAATAAATTTGCTGATTAAATAAACTTTGATCGTTAAAAATCATAATACAACGAAATACAAATACATTTTATTAAAATGTTAAAAGATTTAAGTATAAACAAGTTTAATTACATATTAAATATACCAAACCAATATAATTTTTTTTTTAAATTATATAATATTTATTACTGGGTAATATTCATTTTTCAGGTAAAGGATTATTTTTTTATATAATATATTGGTATTCTAGAATAATTCTAATAAATCAATATCCCCATTTTTGCGTTAAGATTGAAATTGTATTATTCAATAAATAATTATAAGCTTAAAAATATAAATTATAATAAATTATATTATGATCATCGTAATAATATAAACCTATATATAGATAAAATATTATATTTGATAAAACTAAATTACGAACCATTTTTAATTAGAATAAATATTTATACATATAATATGGATATTATAATTGTTTTAATCAGAAAAACGTTTATTTTGCAGAACTTGACCAACACGGGGACATTTAAATGTGCTTTGTTGGTGTTACCACTTTACTATTTCACCATGACGAATTATTTTTGGGCGTTTATCGAAGGTAAACATCGTAATATAAATTAAATTATTATGACTAATCCTAAAATAACACGCGTTCACGACTCAAGAGACACAATAACCGCGTGTTGTTATTTGTTTTATTTATTTGTGAATTTTGTTTTTGTTGAACAAACGACTACCGTGGTCAAATTTAACATCAAAACTCATAAATTAAATGTGTGCGTAAAATATTTACACGATTTTAATACCTAATGAATTGGTTTTCAGGAATGTATTTATTTATAATAGTCGTAGATACATTTTTCCCAGACAGAGTGCGGTTGCGAACATATATGGCTATCGGATGGGGTAAGTTTTGTATTTTATGTGTCACTATTAAGTGAAATTAAAATGTCTTATCATAGTTTAGTTATAAGTTGAATGCCATATTATTCCAAGGGCCATAAAATAAATAATACAAAAAATTAAAAGTGTTTACAGTACCAACTTATATTAAAAATAATTAATTTACATTAAATGTATAATTAACTACCTACTTTAATTACCTCTATGAACAAATAATAATAGTATAAGTCATTTTTAAAATTACATTTTTACATTTAACTTTTTATATTATGTATACAAACAACACAGGAATGATGGAATAACACATATTAATATGATTATTGATTGCTAATAATAAATAAAAATTAATTCTTATTTTTTATACACAAGCACAAATCAAATGCGATGCGAATAAACCATTTTATTCTTTGAGATATTTTATATTTTAATACTAGTTTAATATAAACGACTACGCAATTCGGAATTTGTTAATTTTAAACATTTATAACGTTAACGTTATATTTAAGTAAAGATTTTTCCTATAAAAGCGTATATATAGGGTTCCTGATAAGGTTCAACGTTCAACAAGTTGTGAATCCTATAACCAAATCACTATTTTCTCCTCCCGGAACAACTGGGTATTTATGATTTCTCATGATCGCTTCACTTGCTTGATACAGATACCTATCTTTGTTCTCAGCAAACAAATTATGAACAAATATGGTAAGTATAAATATTACCAGACAGTAGAAAACGAATATTTATTTTATTTTTTCTCAAACATTTTCTTATAATATTTTACTATATTTCAACGTTTACCATATATAGCTGTTTACAAATTTCAACAGATTCGATAAAAACAAATTTTTTACTTAGGTACTCGTTTTTTAGCTTCTTTTGTTTACAATAATATTCATATTTCAAATTCACATAAATCAGTTGACTGAGTCCATGTAACAACGACGGTAATGGACGCTCATCGATTATACATATGTAGAGGTTTTGATATTGATTTTATTAACGTGGAAAACAGGAAATTGTTTTTGGTACAATATTTTTTTAAATTTTTGTTTTTCAGACCACAGTTTCATACATTCTACCTGCACCACTCAAATTATATACCCCAGTACTTCAACTAAATTTATTCGAAATATGGTTTTATTGATTTTATTATTTTACGGACGTCTTTAAAATTATGTACTCGTAATAAATTCACTTGGGTACCTCAGACAACTACTGAAGTACATACTATTATGTAATATAAGATCTTGTGAACATCAATTGAAACCATACGACTAGTAAATCATCTTATAATATTATATTAGATAACCATTTTATTTTGCTATTTACTAATGTGTATATATTTTTTTAAATTATAAAGTGTTCCTGATAGGGTCATCCAATTTATTGATAACTTATATCAACATTTTTTAATAGTTTAACTGTTGATAATTGTATTAAAAATGTAATATAAATTCAATGTTATGGTAGATAAATGGTCATAATACAAAAATTAAGCTATCTTTTCAACCGAATTCAAGATTGGTTTTTGTATTTTGGATATTTAAAAATATTTTGATTACTTCGAGTAGATGGTTAAATTTGCAAAAACTATACAAAAATAAATCAAAGTGATAGCGAAGTATGAAAAATGAAGAAGGCTATGAAGAGTTTCAGATACTTAGTCGTATTACCATAATATTTTAAAGTTTTCGTTGACCGTGGTATTTGATTTAGGTTTGTTGCTGTTTATGTTAGTGTTGTCACTCGAGACCGCTTGGGTTGTATGGGTATTAAGAGTTCTTATTAATTCTGATGCAAAGCCTTAGTAAGTCGGTTTAAAAGTTGAATTTAAGTTTAAGCTAAACTATTATTAGGTGTACCTACCAATATTATTTGTTATAACAATGTATATAATATGTATAGATAGGGAAATGTAAAAAAAGTTGACTTAGAAAAATTCATATACCTAATTTTTTCATAGATATTTTGAACTCCATTTAATTCACTTTAACCAGTACATTATTGCTGTTGTTATGTATATTTTTTATTGTTAATATGGAAAACAATAATAATTGTATTAAGAAATAAGATACTATGATATTACAAAATTTATCTAAACATTATCATTAAATATATTAACTTTAATGGTTGGTTTTAGTTATGATAGAATTCGAATATTACTATAACGATGAACTATTAACCGATTGGGAGAAAATAGTTTATAATTATTAAAACTCAAAAACCATAGGATAGCAATTTAATATACTTCGGAGCATTACATTTTATATTAATAAAAACCAATATATATTTCTTCCTCTATCAATCCGCCCCATTTTGTCCACGGACACACTAGTTATGTTTACTTAAGAGCGCTACCCATAAGTTTATTGTCTCCTTGCAAAGTTGTGACAAAGCAAATTTCGTTTTTTCTAGTTTCAATAGCAATTCTGTTAGTTTTGATATTCGAGTAAATTAACCCATCATCAAACTTTTAGATAAACATTATCTATGCTTAAGGCTCAAGCATCAGAAATTTGTTTGATGTTTTAATTATCAAGCAAGAAATAGGTATGTGAAATATCATAAATTATAAACTCTCATATCGCGCATGAAAAATTAAAATATCGAATAAGACTTAAGCATAGATAATGTTCTTACCTAAGAGTTTTATAATAGAAAATTTCACTGTGATATCAAAACTAACAACACACTATTAAAATTTAAAACTAATAAACGAAAATTTGCCATGTCGTACTGACAGAGACAACAATGCACGGGTAGTGTCCTCTTAATTGTATAATTAATTTATAAATATAATATAAATCAATCAATATTAAGTATTTCGTCATTATTTTTATCAGTTCCCACTTGCAATAATTCTCATCATGGTGTTTTTAATATTTATACAAGAAAAATTATTATTATTGAAATTATTGACATGTAGTTTTTTTCAAGACATCATACCAAATCGTGTATCACTATACATTTTTACTTCCCAAATTGTCGAGGTAAAAATTGTAATGACCAATTAGTTAGAATAGCTAATTAAAATATTCTATTGTATTTTATGTGAATTCAATATTTTCCATTCCAATTAACAACACCAACAAACATTTTTAATAGAAATTATTGAGATTGAACGAAACTAAATATTTATATGTTTATTACCTTTTTCTTTTTTTTCTTTTTTTTCCTTTTTTCCCCACTTTTTTTTAAGTGTGGTATTTAGATAGTAGTTATTGTTATTGTCTCCATCTTACAAAGTATGTAAAACATATCAAAAATTGTTTCGCGCGGGACAGAATCGAGAAAACTACAGTTATAAATAAGAAACCAAATTTTCACCACGAATAGAGGGGAATTTTAACTGTGTCATAGATTTTTATTTTTTCAATAGCACTAATATATCAAAAGTTATTTAAGTTTAGAAAAGGCAAGAATAACAAATGTTTAAAAGTATTATAACTTTTTTCTTCTTAATTATATCAAACAAATAAAAAGGCTACGACACAGAAAATATTATCTTCTATATTGTGTAAGCTTTTGGAGTCGCTACTAAGACTACAGACTGAGTGGTTCTAGCTTGCGCCAAACAGTTTTTGCTCTGTTGTACATTTGTAAGGCATAGAAAACACATGCAGGTGTGGCGTCCTCTTAAGTGTTTGTAATCGAATTTATATAATTAGGTAACTAAAAAATATTATTTTATTTACTACCTATAATATAATATTACAAAATTAGACATTTAAACCTGAAGTATTAGGCTTATCTATAATAATAAATTGTATTCATTTCACTCGAGAATTGTACTAAAGAGATTATTGATACAACTATTCAATTATCTATACTGATACTGGATTATTATTTATAACTTCAAAATTGCCTAAGGGAATTTTATATTCAATATTATTGAATAATATTTGTGTTTATATTTAGGTAATAATAAATACTCTACTAATACATTAAGCTGAATATATTTCGACACAATCCTTTCTTATATAAAACAGAAATATAATGTATTAATATTAACTAACCTTTTATGAAGAATCGATTACTCAACGTGATCGTCTGTGAAATTGTAATTTATAGTTATTTATAACTTCATTAAATTATCAAAATGAAACTTAATACACTATTTAATCATTTCATTTTAATATGTTCTCAATGTTTTATCATTCCATAACATGAAAAAGTTAATCCTCGTGTGGTTCGATTTTTATAACAAAATATTTGATTTTATTAATGATATATGCGTAATATTGAATTAATAATTAATTACATTTTTTTTCTTTTTGGAAGTCAACTGAAGACAACATTTTGGTTATTATACAATATAACACCTTTGTGGATTTAAGAAAAAGAACAAGAAATAAAGTTTAAGATAGTTTGATTTTGCACCGCAATAAAACGCTGTCCAATATTTGATGCCAAATGTTCTCATGACCCTATAAGTGCATTGTCCCGTTGTTTATTGTCAGTTATGTGAAGTTAGACAAATGTTTATCATTCTGCACTGTCTTTCACTACCACTAGTTTTCCACAAAAAATCTCTTGGAAACCATTTATGTATCATTTTTTTATACAATGACAAATCCATATTGTAATTGAAATTGCTCATTCTTTTAAAACTAAAATCAATATTTATACTTGGGTAGATAGCAAAAACTAAAAAGTAATAGAATATTTTGTTTTTCAATGGAAGTTTGGATTTTTCTAAATAATCAAGTAAGTAGTACAAATTACTGTTATAATACCTATAACCGAAACATAATAATAGATATTTGTGGAACAGAGTGAATTAATTATAGTTAACTTAAGATCAATGATACCAAGTAATCTAAATATGCTTTTTAATGTTTTAATACCAACATGATTAACAGTGTTAAAAATAGTTATTATGAAATAATTGGTTTAAGAACATATTCCAATATGTTCATTTTATTTATTATACTATAGACCGGCTGTTTTCAAAACCCTAGAACTACACGGATACATCCGAATTAAATCATAATTTATAATTTGTTTGGTTTTGCATTTATATCCCAATATCGTGTAACCATATAGCTTCGTATTTTTTTAAAAATAACTTAAGGGTTCTGTGAGCTAAAAAGTTTGAAAATCGCTTCTAAAAACAACAGTTAAGGTATATTTCATATTTTTATTAATAATTCACTATTTTATATACTTTTGCAACTTATAAAAGTATAATGTTTTTATCTTATTTTTAATGTGACATTTATACTTTCGCATCTTATACTCTAAAGAGATTGTTACATATTCGTTAGCTATTGCATATTTGTGTTACTTGTATATATGTTATTGAGAAAAAAAATTAGTCTTCCTTTGTAACGTAATATTCGTAAGCATCATTATGGTTTGCAAATATGAAAGCAACTGTATTTGTAAGCAATATTTTCACATGCATTTGTATAAATAACTCCAAAATTAGTCTCTAATTATTCCAAGATCCTTTCACACTATATCTATGATATATTATTTTATCTCTGAGTTCCATACGTATTTAAGCTTTTTGATTTACACACAAAACGCAAAAATAAAAGGATTTTTTAATAAAAATAGATTTTGTGGTTCTTTTACAATGCTTAAATAAAAAATAAAAAATAAATTAAAAAGGATTTTATTACATTGAAGATTATTCCTAAAAATATGCTCTTAAAAACAAAGATCGGAATAGGTTATTTGATTTGAATTATTATTTAAATTTAATATTGTTCATAATATACTCTGGTGAGTATTATGCTCAAAATCTAACGAAATTGTTCAGAATCTTAAACTGTTCATAGCTACTATTATGTTTTATAGTTTTTTGAAGGTTGTAGTAAAGTTAATAAATAACGAAAAACTGAACATCTTTATAAAATTATATGTGACGGTCAGTCGTTGAAAGTGCAGGATTAAAGGGTTAATATGTCTAATTAAATTAGAACAATTACTACACACAATTTGTTTTGTTTTTTGTAGCTTTCGTGTATTTTTTCTACATATTTATTCACAAACGGCTTACTATTATTTATTTAAATTTAACTTGAATTTTGAAAATAATGCTATTCATTCCTATAAATATACTGCATTAGGTTTATATTTACAGTTTGTAATAATAGAATATACAGTCATATTTACATTAGTCATTTAGGGGTTAAAGTGGCGCAAAATAGCTACGAGTACTGTGATTTATATTTTATTTTGAGTGTTCCATGTAATATTTTCTCGCACATGTACAACAATTCATTAATTTGTTAAACCAAAAATTGTTTTCTCGAAATATTAATTGCTTTTCTTAATATGTAGCAAAAATATCCATATTATATAGAATCATAATACCTATATATATTTAATCAAATTAAATGTGTACAAATGACAACAAGCCGAAAATTGAATTCAATATTTTTTTTTGATCAACTAAAAAAAGTGTACTTATAAATACTGAAAAATATAAAATGATACATTTTCGAAATTAAATAATTAATTTTAACGGTTGAAAAGTTATTTTGATTAAATTTCAAAGCCTCGGCTCACCAAAATACATTACTACATTTACCACGTCCTCCTCCGCATTCACCAATTTTAACCCCTAGGCATACTAACAGAGGTGGTTAACCCCCCCCCCCTCCTAATAAATTTTCCCCGATTTTCAATCATGACAATTGTTGTGGTCAGTCTTGTCACCTTATTTCAATACTTAAAATCTTCCTCAAAATGAACGTTTGGGTCTAAGTACACAGCTAATGTACATTGTAAATGACACATATATATATCCTGGTATGTAAAATGAAGAAAAACATTAACATTTTTTATTCTGTTACAATGTACAATTTAACACTATTTGATGCATCTGTGAAATTGTTCTATTATATGCAGGATAAAACTAATTTACTTAATTATTTCGTAATATTTTGTTGTTTTTTTTTGTTAATATTTATTCCTAAGAGTAAACAATTACATACATAATATATAAATAAATTTAATATCATTTAAAAAAAATAACTCATTTTCTGAGAGTGGGTGTAAATTGATATTTTTTGAAGAATTATAAAATCCATTAAACTTTAAAATGAATATTCAATTTTCATGTTATAAATGACAACAAATTACCTACCTATTAGTTAAATAAATATTTGTTAGTTCGTAACTATAAAGCCTGCATATTACAATACTTTATTAAATGCTTTTTATATTGTAAAACCAAAATTTAATTAGTGATCCAATCATAAAATGTAAAACAACTTGTATAAGTGTAATTAGTTTATTGTTATACACCTGTGACTTAAAAGAGTAAGACACGATGGTAAATTTATAATAATAAATAACAATATCGTTTTTTATATTAAAATAATTTGCAGTGTACTTAGGTAAGTCATCGTGTTATTGTAGCTTGCAGGATAGTTTTAAGTGTTTAATTAAATATTAATATTTTGTAAAAACAATTGGTTGCAATTTATTTTTATAAAATACTACAATAACTGATCCTGCACGGAATTGCCCGTGACAAAATTAAATAACACCAGTGGATTTACCCTGCCTTCAACTTCGTTAAATGTAAACTACACATATGTTTAACTAATTAATTTGGGTGGTTTTCGCAGTTTATAAAATATAGAGCTATGACTATAACCAATTATGGTAACTGTTTTATCTTGCGTAACCAATGGATTACTAAACAAACAAACAAATATTCGTTTTTTGTGAGAAACAAAATTCGTGTGAGTAACCCACCTTAAAAATGCAAAAATTGGAAAAATTGGCTTTGATGACCATCATATATACAGGATATATCCTTGCGAGTATAGGATTATCTATGTACCGAATTTCAGAACCATAAGTGAGATGGACTTAACTGTGGATAGTTTATACACACCCACGCATATTCTATCAATTATTAATATATATATATATATATATATATATATATATATATATATAATATGATGGACTTGCAAATAATTATTGTAATAAAATAATATGATAAAAACACATTGTAATGTTAAACGCCTTCATGTGATTATTATTTAATAAATAATAGTATTTATTGTTCCATAATATGGACAATGGACATATGGTACTAATGGTACTATTAAATATTAATACTTTAGTTATTTTTCTCAGTCTTTAGTGCCTATATCCATATGGAATATTAAATGTGGTTATCATACTTGAGCCATCAAATTTTCAAGCGGTAATAACAACACGTACTGAATCTCTATTTTCGTCGATGTATTATGAATAATATAATAATATATTATTGTCCTTGTCAGATTTCACAATACATCTATTTTCAATGATTTCGTTAACTCATATATAGTCTTACTTATAAAAAATAGAATTTCCGTCGACAGAACATTCCCTAACAGTACCCATGACTGTGTATAGGACACTGTCACACCGACACGTGCATTAGGTACTATTCTAGTCTCGGGTAACAGTGTAACAGAGTAACAGGCGTAATGCTATATTCAGCGAAATAGCAATAGAGTACTCGATCGGTTATTCCGTCTTATAATGCAATAACATACCGAGGATGTAATATACGATGCACATAAAATGTTTAAAAAAAAATGATAAAAACGAAAACCTTCTTGAAATGCCCGTGCTTGTCTGCTTCCGGGTTTCCAAAGATATTTATTTACCTTGCTGTAAGTATGTTTACAAACTTTTTTTAATATAGATCGAAATACTCACTGAGAATATATTTTTCCGTTCAAAATCGACTCATACAAAAATATACATTTATTGGTACCTATACCTGGTATAATTGTGACTCGTCAACTAAATGTATAATAATACATTCTAACAAAAGGGTAATCGTTAGCGACCAACCATTTGGGTTCCCTTGATATTCTGTAATATTGTTTGAACACTCGTTAATGAGTCTCGAAGCGCGTTCCGTTATCGGTGCATGACATCTATTCTGCTTGCGCAGAATACTCTCTGTCGATTTATTGCCACCCGAATTACGAGGGTTTATGACACGCGACGCATTACGCCTGTACGCAGACACCATAGTGAGAATTAAGTTATATTACTAAAATTTAGGTCGTAGGCATAACTATTAACGTTTATTTTTATTTTTTTTTTTTTGTGGGGTTGTCTAGATATTTTTAGTTTTTCGTTTTCCAATAACAACGTTCTATGTATCTTAAAATTAGCAATAATTATAGTTTTACGACAAACCTACCTCATATCTTTTTTTTTTAATTTGTCTTTCAAATAGTTTTAACTTTTATAATACAAATAACAACAGAATAAAAACAAACAAGAAAATGTACATGAATTAGTACATATTTTATACATTTAAAGAATCTTTTTTTTAAATGATCTAAAAAACTAAACATGTGTAATATGCTCTTAATTTTAAATATATTATTAATATTATAAAATATAAGCAAATTCAATTAAATTGACCTATTTTAGATTCTGGGGGTAGTGATGAATGTATTGATTTTACAATGATGTGTGTTGTGTCTGTGTACACGATATCGAAGTAATGCTTTGATTTTCAACTTCAGTATCTTTTTTATGGGAATTTTTACGCAAAATCGATTTTTTCTTTTGATAACTCAAAAACTTATTCAATATTCACCCTATGTTTATTTTAGCATTGTCTGTACACCATAAAAGTTTTAAAATATTTTCTATTTTCGAGACTTTTATAGGCATAAGAAAAGTTCAATTTATATTAGTTTTTTTTCAATCAATGTCGATAAAAAAAGGTTTCACTGTCAAAAAAAAATGTAACCCGAACCCCAAATTAATTGCACCTATGTACCATAGCTGCAGCAGATGATACTGTCGATAAACATTTACCACAGTGATATTGTCTCGATATCTTATAATATAATATATTAACCACAATCCGTATATATTATTAATGGTTTTCACATTTTAGGAATACCATTGATCATTATACCCACTTGGTGCGTCACAAAACTTTTGGTGCCGACTAAAAATGACGTAAGTAGTCATTGGACACGCACACGTAGAACACATAATAATGGTAATAATACAAATTGTTGTTCTTTTTTTCTTAGTTAGATTTGTACAACCAGATCACATACGAAAGATATTGTCCCTTAATGGCCTCATACGTAGACGATTGGATATATCAGTCACCGATAGTCATCGTTTTGCTGATCAACTCTATATTCCTTGTAAAAATTATGAGGGTAAGTAATGTCGACAAAATCAACAAAAATCTATGGACCTTATATAATACAGTCTATGCAATAGTCTGACGTCATATCACTTTTATATTATGAAGTTCATTTTTGTCACTGGTTTTTGTAAGGTGTTGATAACAAAAATAAGGTCCACCAAATCCGCAGAAACTCACAACTACAAAAAAGCCACCAAAGCTCTTTTAGTGTTGATACCACTACTGGGCATTACCTTTTGTTTGGACATGATCAATCCCAGTTCCACGGGATTACTGGTTAATATTTACAAATTCAGCAAAGTTGTAATAATCAGTACTCAGGTAAGCACTCCATTAAAATCATAGATCTGCAATACCTATAATATATTATGGTTACAACTTACAACCCGATTGAGTACGACTTATCTTTTAGCCTTAAGGTATAACATGATATCGTAATATCGTATGTGTTTTGTCCAATACAAGAACCCACGAGGGAAGGGGGGCAATGGGACCCATTTTTTTTTCTAATCTGAGTACTGTGTATGTACTTATCCCTTATATTATCAAGCACATGGCAACTACCAGCTATATGTCTAAATAGTAATAATAAAAGACATTTTGATCTTGACCCGGATGAAATTGCATGGTGATGGGGAGAAGAGGAGACGATATGTCAATATTCCATAGGTCGAATATCAAATTTATCCCTTAAATACGTCAAGTTTACTTACTATTTACTATTTGGGCTTTTTATTGGAATATACAAGATTAATCCACCAATAATTTGTGATATTTTTATTTAGTGTCTATGTACTTTAATTTACATTTAATTGTTTGAATGCGTTGTAAATTAGCACGTTTTTATCAATATTTCAACTTAAATGTTCATTAAAATTTAACTACTACATATTATTGTGTATTTGAGTTGGATATTAGGAGATGAGCAGTTGAACACTATGAAATTAGCTACTGTACATTTTTTTTTTTTGGAAACTAACTGACCAGTGTGTTGTTCTATTTAAGTATTAATTGTATTATGTTAATTAGGTATATGTATTTTAGATTGTAAATGTAAAATTAGTAAAATCAAACCAAAATGTAATTAATTTAACGTACGGAATAGTGTTATGATGTAACAGTTAAGTAGGTATCACATATAAGCACCTTTATCGTTACCGTTGTCCGTACGGACATTGGCTTCTAGGGGCTTATCCCCCAGAAATTTCAATAGCCACTCAATATGGAATTGTGTGTATATCCATTTGAATAATTCTCGGGATCCAGGCCACTTTACTTTGGATAATGCTATCCCCTCCAAAGACTCAATCAAGTGGCCCCTCATTCCGTACGTGGTCGTCCTGTACACTAATACAAACATTATGTTTGAATCTGTTACTATACAACTACAACAATTTATAATTTGAATTACAATAATCATATTTGAATATCACTGTACAATTTATTATTGTGTATCAATTTATCTGTTAGGGGTTCACCGTCTCGTTACTGTATTGTTTCTTTAACAATGAAGTTCAAAACACATTGAAATACCACATTACTAGATGGCAGACAAAGCGGAAATTCCTCGCTTCGAGAAAAAAATATGGCCGGTCCTGGTTGTCGGTAAAACAAAACAATATAATATGGTACGTCTATTATTAAATTATTAAATTAAATAAATATCTGTCTTATACTCATACTATAAGTTTATAATTACGAAATTTGTACGTATTGTCGATAGAAATCATGCTTAGATACCAGCTTACTAGTCTTAAATTAGACTACTTAGTTAAGTATATATTATTTATATTTCCATAGTATATTGATAGCATTAACTAAAAACTATAAGAATATTTTTGTTAAAAAAAAATTATATTACATCATGGTATAATATGTAAATAGTAAATACCATAGCCATTACATTATGTATGTACCTTTGCGATTCAACTAATTATTTTTTTTTACATAACAAGAGACAACAAATCATATCACCTACGGATAGGGAGGTGTTATTTTAATTAAAACTATGTTCCAGTCCTTCTAAATATATAAAGATTCTGCAGTAAAAAAGTTTTAAACATATGAAAAAAAAATGCTATTTAATTACAATACTATATACGAGTAGGTATTCATATAATGATTATAAATTGTATGTTTAAAAAAATGTTTATATATTTGCCATCATTTCGCTCCTCATTATTTACCATACTAACATGATAGTATTCAGCAACAATTATATTTTAAAACATCAAAAACTTAATAATAAAAATGAGACAAATATCATTTATTTCGAACATTTTGTTTTAAAATAACTTCAAACTAAGTAAAAATAACTATTTACTAATGCTATATTAATGATATATTAGGATATTAATGGGTAATATTTTCTCTAAATATACGAACCACATATCATATTTTTGGCACTAAGCAAATTTACTTATTACTCCCATATACTTAATACTATAGATTAGGTATAAATAAAAAATAAACTGAAAAGGAAGCCTGTCCAATAAAAAAATTAAGTATACTATACGTTATAACTTAGAGCCATACTGCGCTTATGTGATGAAACTACACTGGCTTCGAGCAGAATATCTATTGAAAACCAATCCTAAATAATAACTGTTGTAGTAATAAAATGAATTCAATACACAGTGATCAGCTGGACCCAAAGGAACTGATGCCATGGATACCAGCAAACAACGTTAGATCGTCTTCTTGCATCAGCAACGGCACGACTACCTCAGCGTTGTCAAACATGAGACTGCCCCCGGATACGACTATCGAAATACCACCGGATCCAGAACAACAACATTTATCTAAGGATTCAAATGATGATGGAGCCGAACCGTGAACCATACTATAGTCGTTATGTCGGGTTTAATTATATAATATCATAAATGCATAAAATATTTAAATATTATATATTATTATACGTATTACATTCACAGATATTACACATATATCTGTGAATATAATAAGAGTGATATGTAAATATATTTGTAACTAGCTTTTATTATTATTATTTGTATTTATTTTATTATTGCTGAGGAGTAAAGTATAATATATTAATAATGTAATTTTTTTTTTTACATCGTCAAAAAATATTATAATATTCGAGACGCTATTTTTTCGATGTTTTTTTGATTTTGACTGCTATTTAGTTTCAATAAAATGTCAGTATCCTATTTCTATGTGACTTGAAATACTCATTTTATTATTATTATATAAATGCTGTGTTCTTCTGAAATACTTATTATTTTTGTTACGATAATAATCTGTTAATTTACCATACACTCCCATATAGTACTCTGTACTGGGTACTGTATATTGTACAAGGGTACATATTATCATAGTAAGTTTTAATTAATTAAAAAAGTGTAAAGCTGCATAACCATCTTTATGCTTATTATTATATCGTGTTCATTTATCAATGAACAAGTGCATGTGTATGAACGAGTATAACAATATTTGTTTCAAACGCCAATAATAAAATGTAATATTTACTTTTATTCTTTAACTCCCTAATAATATATACAACTTTCGATGACGATGTGTATGAAATATGAATGGCCTTAAGTAAGAAAGTCCACCAAAAACAATAACTAAAATTTAACATATTCAATCATCTGAAGAAAATATATTATGTACGCTATTTAATTAAATGTTCATATTATTGTTTATTTTATGGACAAAATAACGAAGTGGAGGGATAAAAATAAATATTAAAAATACCTAAGTATTGTTTTTTTAAGCGTTTGAAGTTCAAACTATGACAAACTTATTAAAATTCACGAACATTTGCAAATTATTTTATAGTTAAAAATCTTTAATGCTGCTCAATTTGTGTAGTTCATGCTTCATGTTTGACAATTTAATTCAGGGTTACTTACAATTAGTTTATACTGGAATAAAAACATCTAAAAAATATTTTAATATATAGTTTTTTCTATAGGCATTTTTAATTCAAATTAGAAAGAATTATGTATTTAAATGAAGAATAATGATTTCAATTATTTTGTTGAAATTGAAAGATTCCCGAGTTATTGAAACTTTTAATTTTTATTATTTTATACACACAACGTCATTTTCAAAGCATTAAGATTTGACCTATTTATAGCTTATAACATATTACTATATTAGCTTTTGTAAAATAATAGCCAATAATAGCTAGCGGCTAAAATGTTCTACTATACTTCAATATCAAACCATAGAGTTATTAATTTAAAATATTACTGAATATTATATTACTCATTTTCGAATACTCAAACTCAGACAAACTTCGTGGAAATTGATAGTTGATTATCTCATATATATTTTTATATCAACGGAATCGATTTAGGTACTTATTATTTTTTTGAATCGACATCTGTGATTTGTATACACCGTTATAAACTGTTATATAAATATAAGCGAAATAAAGAGAACATCTGATAAGTGGCACAAACAGTCTAAATAGAAAAAAACGAATTAGTTTTAAACAGACTAAGAATATGCCATACTAAGCTAACACACCATTTCTTAATGGTTGAAGAAGCCCCTAAAATATGTACTACATAATATGAAACCAAATTACAATCAAATATATTTTAAAGACTGTTTCAAATATGAGGAAGCAAAAAAAAACAATACAATTTACTTGAACACTTCTTTGAAATCCTAGGAGACCAAGTAGAAATGAACAATAAAGTAATTTTTCTTTTTTAGGTCTGATTTATAAAACTTATTTAGTTATATATCTATGTAAAAAATGTGTAAAAAATAAAAACTTATAAAGAGTTATTTATTAATATGTGTTTGATATTTTATGAGCTTTAACTATAATGCTCTAACAATATAATTTTAGTTTGTACCTATATAATTTTTAAAATATAAATTAAGTATAATAATATATGTAAGTTAAATACAATGTATTCTAAACGTAAGATAGTTGGATTTAATTAGTTGGAGAAATACAAAAAAGAAGAGTTAGTAGGTACCTCTATTTTTTTTGTAGTATTCCTAAAATTAGTGGGAGTCAATCAAATCATTACATTCACCCATTATCTACTTCAAAGTTTTATAAATAAATTATTGATCAACAAGTCTAATATTGAAATATTGTTTCATTTTTACATATTTTATACATATATTTTTATACCAGCGGAAAAAAAAATTGAGAGACCATAATATTGGATCAGAAAAAGCTTCTGTGAATACAAGTAACCCTCAGCAGAACGCTTCCAATTCGTTGTCAAGTGAAACTATAACAGTCACCAATTTTATGGAAATAATAATATAAGGTATAGTATAGCATAGTCACCTATTTATTATTATTTTTTTTTTATTGTTCTATTGCTGCTGTTCGGACCTTTTCAATACCTTAATATTTTTATTAAAATACAAGGATTAAATCTTTTTATAATAGTTTTTAAATTCAACTCAATATTTATACAAGTATATTAAAATGTTATTATTAAAAAGTTTATAATATCGTCGAGTTCTATCATTTTACTATCTTTAAAGCTTTAAGCATATTATATTTTGATATTATAAAAGGTATATGAATATATGAAGTTTTTTGAATTAATTTTTATTTTGTTATCTCAAGAATACTAAGAAAACATACATTGAGTAAATCATCAATAAGCCCTGAAACAGAAAACACTTGACTGTGTAGCATGTATATACATATTTTAATTAAAAAATGGAACTCTCTCGTGCGCATTCAGTAAAAAATAATTTTTTTCCGTCCATTAAATATAACATATAATATCAATAACAAACAACTCAAAAACAAGGGTGGTAAATATAATAATATGTTGTGTTACGGGCTTAGTCCTTCAACTTCACGCATAATAAAACGGCATCATATACAATGTAATAAAGTTTATTTTTCGCATTAATACGTTGTATCGATGATGATAACAATCACTAACAAATGTATATCATTATTATTGATTTAAATCGTTTTGAACGGCGGTGAAAAAAAATCTAATCCTAGTGAGCGTGTGTGTACGTTAAACGTAAAGGGTCGCCAGTGGAGTTTAATAGGAAAAATAACCAACCGAAAAACTTTGGAGATCATAATTTTACAATATTATAAATTTGTAAAAATATAATATCGTAATAATAACACGACAACGTGTCGTCGTCCACCACAGATCTCGTACAGCGTATTTACATACTACGCGTATATAACATCGTTTGTCCGGCGTGCTTGCCTACATAATAATCGCCACCGGAGCTTTATTGTTGTTCAGCAGACTATAAAATTCGCGGTGGTGTCCGTTTCCACGACAGGATTAAAATTATATTATTATTATCGCAATATATTATTGTTATTATTATTATTATTATTATTATTATTATTATTACTATTATTACTATTATGTACACAGTTTGAGCGCCTTGTATTTTGCGCCGCACGCTCCATTACGTGCACGGGTTTGTTGTGGTCGTTTATTATCATATTATAAAATACACAAGGCGTTGTTGTTGTTGTCGTCGTCGCCGTCGTCGACCGCATAATATACCTATTATTGTTATTATTATTCCTATTCAAAAGCTGTGATCGAGGATATGATAAATCCGTGTACAAAAATATAAATGTTTTTTAAAAAAGAAGGGTTTGTTGACTGTTGTGCTGACTCTGTTCGAGTATAATATTAATAATAACAACATCGAGTTGTCCGAGTAGCCGAAAATCGATATTCTGCTGTGTTCTAGCGGGGTTCCGAGGACCGATGTACACATTCGTATGATTATCATGAACAGTGTAAAGACTATAATAAGGGTTCATATTTTCTTGATGTATTTTGCTCTTACATATCTTATGTTAACATTTAACAATGAAGGTATTTTATTTTTTGTTTTCGTTTACATGACTTTTTGGAAAAATTTTAACACACAAAAATAAATACTAGATAATTATACATAATTATATAAGTAAATGTATTGGATTATGCGCTTGTTGTGCAACATTTAAAATATGTTTTGATGTTATTAAGGAAATATCCTTTGATACCAGAATATATACAAGATTGTCTTTTTTTATATCTTATAAGAAACATATCATTTGACTAATTCAAGGGTTCTTTTTGTCGTTTGACTTGTTTGATTGTAAATAACAGTTTTTTCTTATCGTAGGTTTTTATGTTGTATTATAATTAAATATAAACATATTATTTAAATAATTTTTTGAGCTTAAATAGCATGAATAGCTTTATGGCAATACATAATTATATACAACTAAGAGAAACACTATAATGTAACAGTACAACTATAGTACTTACTATATTATTGTAACAAGTACCGTAATTACATTATAATTTATACCCTGTAGCCTACAAAAGAGCAATGTTTTTTATTAATGTGTAACTGATAAATTACAATATTTATTATGAAAGAGAAAAGCATACTAAGGGAGCTCAAACAATACCACCCGTAGGCCATGAATATTGTTGTGTGTTTAATATTTATACCTTGTCAAAAATAATAGTTGCAGCAATAATGTACGTGTAAAAGTTCTAGTATATCAATAATGTTCATTTGTCATCCTGCAGACTATAGTGGTCAAAGTAATCATACAGCGTAATATGGTCATTCTGATCATCATCAAATCAATCAGTAATGAGTTTTGTGAAGATTATTTAAAATTGAAATTCTCAATTGCATCTATCGATATTAATCGGACGGATTAAATTTAACCAAAACGAATCAAACAACCATTGAACCATCATTAATCAATATAATAGGGCAAGAAAATAAATGTCTGGATTAGAATATAATATTAGGTACGAGTATAATATAGGTACTATTATCATACGTTATTACATTGCTATCGTTAATATCGTTCGTAGATATTTAAGGAGAATCCATATTCACATGCTTTGTCTCAGCCTTACTAATACTTAACATACCAAATTTTATGTTCTAAAT